GCCGCACCGTAGAGGGAGAGTCCGGGGAAGCATAGTCAGAGGAGAGCGAAGGTCTGATAAATCGAAGGAGTCAGTCGAGGCCTAAGTACCTGAAAGCGGGTGAGGAAACAGCACCGGCAATAGTACAGGGCATGAGGAATGTCTGAAGATGTGGTCCAAAGACGGGCGGGGTCAGAACGGGGTGCGGTATCAAAGAGGGCCCGGGGGTACCAGGTTCATGGACTAGGGGCGACATGGTTAGGTACTCTTTTCTTTTTTGTTAGAAAAAAAAAAGAAAGAAGGAAAAGAAATAAAAAAGAAAAAAAAAAGAAAAAAAAAAGGGGGGACCGGGGAGGGATAGTTCCTAGGAGGGATGAAAGAGGCCGAAATCTCCCTCCGCGCCCAGAGGAACTCGACCACCGCTAGTAGCGCAGATGCAGCATGAGAACCCGTGCCATACCCTACCCCCCCTTCATGCCAAGTAAACCAGCAATTGGGATAGGCATACCTCACATCTTGCGAGCTGGTACTCGGTGGACAAAAGAGAGGGCGCCCGGGATTCCGCCACTAAGCATACCCCTTCAGCACACACCCCCGGAATCCGAAAGGTGGGCTTCCGAGCTACACCCCAGTCGCCCAAAAGACCCCAAAGCTACTCCGGGATACCGGAGGGAGGGATCGGGACATCCCAAGGCAATCAGGATTCCACGGCAAACTACGCCACCGCCAAGAAACCTCAATGGAATGGGATGGACCCCGGGTGTCCTTTTCTCCTACCTCTAGAACTAGCGCGCCCTGTGGGAGAAATCCCAAAAGGACCTAAAAAGAGGAAAGGGCAAACAGGGAGGAGTGGGGAGGAGGAGGAGGAAAGGAAAAAGGGGAGGATGGGGAGGATGGGATAGGGGAGGGGAGATTGGGGGGTAATTAGGTTCGGTCTGAGGAAGAAGACCGATAGGTCTAATTCCTCAGACCAAGAGCCTCTTCACCACGCCAAGGAGCCCCCCTTGAAGAGGTGATAGATTTTGAGAAAGCCATTGACAACATGCCCATGCACTTAGTCCCTGGCCCAGACTTGTGGAACTCTGTTTTTATTAAGAACTTCAAGAATCCCCTTTTGCATGCCCTAAGTATACTATGGAGGAGCCTAGATAAGGGTGAAATTCCAGTCACTAAAAACAATGGATATAGCCCCACTCTATAAAGGTGCCAGCAAAGCATTAGCTAAGAACTATAGGTCAATAGCTCTAACGTCCCACATAATAAAAATCTTTGAAAGAGTGTTAAGAAGCACAATTGCAAACCACTTGAATTCCCAAAAACTGTACAATACAATCCAGGGCAACAATTTTGGTTCAGAGCGGTTGCTCCAATGCCTCTCGCTACTATGGATCACTATTGATCGGTCTAGATACACTGGAAGGGAAAAACAGAATGCAGATGTAACATACACAGACTTGGTTTAAAAGCTTTTGACAAGTGTGATCACTGATAAATAGTGACAAAATATTTGCTAAAGTGTAACTGGCAAAGTGGGGAGATAGATCTTCAACTTTCTAACCAATCAAACACAGAGGTGTAATGTAAACAGTTAAATATTAAGCATGCCATAGTGAAAAGCTCTGTTCACAAGGCACAGTACTCTCCCTCATCCTCATATCAGACAGATATGTAATCCACAGCATTGTGTCTCCTTTGAGACGACTTCCTAGGATCTGCACGAGATCGTCTATTGAGGACACGGTTTTATTAACCTCCAAGAAGATTTAGACAGTTTTTTTTCCAATGGGCAATGGAAAAAATATGATGTTCAATGAGGACAAATTTCCAAGTACTCCATTATGAAAACTGGGAGGAGATAAAATTAGAACTGGAGTATACTACAAACATTCTGATCATACAATAGTGAAAAATAATGAGAGGGACCTTGGGAGTTGGTAATGGTTCTGGGGATCTCACTTTCAAGGATCACAACAGTGCCCGATCACATCTGCCCAAAGAAATGATGGGATGGATAATGAGAACGTTCAAAACAGAATTGCCAAGCCAATGATGATCACTTTTCAAATCTCTTAGGATGTGAATACTACGTACATTAAATCTTTGTTAAAAGCAGGTGAAAATTTGCAGGATCTGAGAGTGTACAGAGAACCTTTACTGCACTACAAGGCCATTACTGGGAATGCTTGGAAGCACTGACTTGTCCTCACTAGAATGTGGGCAGACAAAATAGCATAATCTACATTGGAATTATCCTAGAAGGATTGGTCAAGAATTGCACACACAAATCATTCCCTCAAAGTAAAAGACTGGGCAGGGAGTGCCAAAATACCACTAATGAAAAGTTAGGGGCGCCATTTGTACTCTAAAAGAAAACACCGTGTCGGGGCCCAAGACTGTTCAACAGCCTCCCATTCATGCATAAGGGGAATTACCAATAGGCCCTGGCTGCCTTCAAGAGAGAGTTGGTCAGATATAAAAGTCTGGTGCCAGATCAGGCCGGGCTTGGTTCGTACGTTGGACTACGTGCGGCCAGCAGTTAGCAGCCTGGTTGTTCAGGCCCTGATCCACTGGGAGGCCCTGGGCACAGTGGGTGTTGATCCCAGAATACCCTCCAGGTAGACAAAGGGGCTTTTGGCATGTACACCCAAGTGTTATATTTCTTTGTACAAACATGTATCATGCCAAAATAAAATAGTATTATAATGGGAAAAAACTGACCTTGTTTTTTTATTTAAAACAGCAACTTTGCAGTGTATTTTTGCATGGTTTTTCTGGCTGTATTTTCTATTTCTTGGTTTCATTTGATAGAATGGAAGATATATTACAGAAATATAGATGATTCTGATTGGCTTGAGGACTGAAAATATCTTGATGTGTGTTCACGAATGTGCTGAGGTAATATTGCATAACAAATATTTTTGTGAATAAAAATAAAAATGGAATTCACATGTAAATCCTGGAAACCAAACTAATGAACAGAGGAAATGAAATGCTATTTTATTGCTAGGAATGCCTGCACTGTTTATTCTGGATCCTATTTTGAAATTTGTTTGAAGTTGGCCAAATTACCAATTTCTGACCACTTTATTGGGTAGTTGAAATACATTGGACCCCAGTTATCGGCGGGGTTTTCGCCGCCTGGTTATCGGCCGTTCGCTCAGTTATCGAGCATTTTATACGCATCCATCTGCCGGCTGAGGCAGCTTGCACTTCAGTTTGGCTTTGTCTCTCGGTGGCTGAGGAAGCTTTTGCTCGTACATCCAAACATTTTGTTTGTTTACCATTGCTTTTAGTGGTTTTTCTTGCAGTGCAACTGTGAAATAAGTAACCATGGCTCCAAAGAAAGTTCCTAGTAAAGTTCCTGTGGTAAAGAAAGTGAGAAACACCATGGAATTTAACCCTTAAATGGTCCAAACGTATATATACGTTTTTTCAACATCTGAAAATATGTAAAAAAAATGTAAATTTTTTTTTGTTTTACATGTGAAAACGTGTAAAAAAAACTTTTATCTACATTTTTTTTTTATATTTGAAAATATGTAAAAAAAAGTAGATCTACTTTTGTAGCACTACGAATTTGAACGTCGATCTGTTTGGACCATTTAAGGGTCAAGCGTGAAGTTACAGAAAAGTTTGAGAGTGGTATGAAGGTGGTGGAACTTGCCACAATGTACAGCAAGAATAAACAAACAATTACATTCATTATTATTGTGGATTAAGGAAAAAGAATTAATGGGAGATAGTGTTGTGGAGTCGATCATTTGTAAGAAGGCAAAGCAGTTGCATGAGGATCTTGCAAAGAAAATGCCTGGAACAAGTGCTGCAATTTGTGAATTGAGGGCCAGCAAAGGATGGTTTGATAGATTTAAGAAGCATAGTGGCATACACAGTGTTGTAAGGCATGGTGAGGCTGCAAGTTCTGACAAATGTGCGGCTGAAAAGTATGTTCACGAATTCCAGGACTATGTAAAGGCTGAAGGATTCGAACCCCAACAAGTGTTCAATTGTGACGAAACAGGCCTGTTTTGGAAGAAAATGCCAAAAAGGACCTACATTACCCAGGAGGAAAAGGCACTTTCAGGACAAGCCTATGAAAGACAGGCTTACTCTTTTGTTGTGTGGTAATGCTAATGGGGATTTCAAAGTGAAGCCTTTACTCTTGTATCACTCAGAAAATCCCAGTGTGTTTAAGAAAAACAATGTCATGAAGAACAGATTGTGTGTGATGTGGAAAGCTAATCATAAGGCATGGGTCACAAGGAAAATTTTCAGAGTGGTTAATGATGTGTTTGGCCCAAGTGTGAAAAAATACCTCCTGGAAAAGAAATTGCCACTCAAGTGCCTCCTGGTACTGGATTTGGAAGACAAAGTGTTTAGGGACTTCAGGTTTATAAAAGTGAAGTTCTTGCCTCCTATCACCACTCCTCTCCCCCAGCACATGGACCAGCAGGTCATTTCTAACTTCAAAAAAACTACACAAAAGCAGTGTTTCAAAACTACTTTGAAATGACCTCAGACATTCAGTTGACCCTAAGAGAATTCTGGAGGAATCACCTCACTATCCTCCATTGCATAAGCCTTATAGATAAGGCTTGGGAGGAAGTGACTTCCAGGACTTTGAACTCTGCTTGGAGAAAACTGTGGCCAGATTGTGTCCAAGAGGGATTTTGAAGGGTTTGAGGCTCACCGTGACCCTGACCCTGCCGACCCTGTGGATTTTGTGGAAGGGGAAGTCCCTGGGGTTGGAGGTGAGTGGTGAGATGTGGAAGAGTTGGTGGAGGACCACAGGGAAGAGCTTACCATTGAAGAGCTGCAAGAGCTTACCATTGAAGAGCTGCAAGAGCTTCAACTTGACAGCAACAGACTACAGCTGAGGAACTTGCTTCAGAGGAAGAGGAAGAGAGAATGAGGAGGTGCCTTCTTCAGAGATTAAAGAGGTGTGTGCAATGTGGACTAGGGTGCAAGCTTTTGTAGTGAAACACCACCCTGACAAAGCTGAAACAAGCCATATCTGCAACATATTTAGTGACAACAACCCTGTTCCACTTCAGGGAAATCTTAAGAGACGCCAGAACAGAGCACTCTGGACAGTTATTTTGCAAGACTGGTCCAGTGACTCAAGCTGGTCCTAGTGGCATTAGAAGACAGAGAAGGGAAGTAACCCTAGAGAAGGCTTTGCTACCTAGTCTTCATAGAGGGGAGTTCCCCTTCCAAACACTAACTTCTCCCTCTTTCCTCCTCCCTATCTTCCAGAAGCCAGCATTATCTTTCAATAAAGGTATGTAATACTTACATAATTAAAAAAACTATTTTTTTTGTGTGAATATTTTTGTTTGGAAGGAATTAATCTTTTTCCATTAATTCTTATGGGAAATATTAATTCGGTTTTCGGCTGACCTTCAGGAATGGATTATGGCTGATAACCGGGGGTCCACTGTAGTTGATTAGGTAATTTCTTGTACTCGATCAATAAAATGGAAGACATACTAGTGAAATAGCTAAGAATTTGGTCGACTGGTACAGTGTAATTGGCCCAAAATAGGGCAAAGTCGGCAAAAATGGCTGATGCATAAAAATCACTGACAGCAAAATTCATGAAAATGTAATTTTGTCAGTTTTTAATCAAATTTTGTACTTCTTGTTTTATTACCTTCAGAAAAAGATTCACTACCATTTCATAAGATTTTTTTTTTTTTTTTTAAAATTCTTGGACACTGTGGACAAGTTTCAGATTGGAAGGAAACAATACTACATGATTATTAAACTTTTGTAATACATGTGATAATCTCCCACCAAGGAAGGGTGACCTGAAAGAGAAACTCCCCATCACTGTCTGCCAGAGGCATACAGATAAGAATACATATAGACGATCCTCTAAACGGCAAATATTCCCAGCCCTCCTTTAGAGTGCATGCACTGTATTTCCCACCTCCAGGACTCAGGTCCAGCTAACTGGTTTTCCTGAACCCCTTCACAAAATGTTACACTCCTCACATTGACAGCTGATCAGGTCCCAAAAACCATTTGCCTCCACTCGCTTCTAACACATTTACATATGTTAAGATAAAAATTTTCACAGAAAAACTACAATCGGTGTTACTTAATGACACACTTACATGAACAACTGTCGTCATACATTCTCCAGCATCAGAACAATGATAAAATAAAAAATTGGAAAAAGTGACAAGAATTATTAATTAAATTTTTATTTTCATAACAATAAATTATAAAAGTGCAAAAGCATTAGCTTCTCGTACATCAAGTACCATGGAACAGTTTCCTAGTTCTGTAATACCTACATCAAAGCATCCTCCATACTTTAGAGTAAGATGACACTCCTGGCACCAGTAACTAAATATATATATACCTGGAGAACCATTAAAGATAAAGAACTTTCAATTACATGAACAAAGATGCAAGTCACAGTAAAATATCAGGGCACCCAAGTTCTTGTAGCACCCATGAGAAACAATAAATTAGATATTAAATAATGCAATAAATAGCATCAAATAAAAAAATTGACAGAGAGACAGGAAAAGAGTCTTCAAAACTACCACATAATTTACTGGCTATAACAGTATATTTGTAAAGATTACTGAAATATTGACCAGCATCTCTTCTCTAAATCTAGAATTTCTTGCCTGATCTCTCTGAACTAGCCAATACTTTGCATGAAATCCAAGGCTACTCTGACACGCAATATGAATTATGAATACATACAAGGGGTGACCCCCACAGAACAGAGATATAGTAGATAAGAACAAAATGCCACTTAAGTTAAACAAAACTGATATGACTACCGTTACAGAATAAATAAATTATGTAAGCAATGAAGTACACGAGAACAGTACACTAATCAAACACATCAAGAGATTTGGCTGTCCCAATCCTAATACAAATCTAGAAACAATCAGTGGGCAATAAATCTTACAAATCACAGCCTAGCTGTCTTCAAGAGGGAAATGGAAAAATTCAAGTTAATTCTTCATTTGCCAGGCTGTGGTGCCTATGTTGGATTGCAATACAGCTAGCACCAAACAACCATATTCATCAGACCAAGTAAGAGACCTGACCTGGGACTAAGCTGCAGAGAAGGTAAGCCCCTAGAATCATCTTTAGGTAGCTAATTCTGGTATTTAAGCAATATTTCTTACAATAATAGAAGTTGAACAGAGGCAAAACCACCCTGTCAACTATGAATTGTTCACCACGTCATTAACCAGAGAAATTTTCAGCGCCCTTATACAACTCTAAACTTGCATTAATAATTGAACATTTTGAAGTACAATGAGAGTATTGTACTATTCTCTGAAACAAAATAAGTGACATTTAATATACAAAATAAAATAAATTTTTATATTCACATTAACATGTGAGGAAAAACGGAAGTTCACAGCCATATAAATCCTATAGAAAACAAACAAAATTAATAAATATATATGTATATATATATTTATATATATTTATATATATATATACAAAAACATCCACGGGAAATGCATTATGGTAAGTTTTGAACTATTAATTTTCATTTTACAAAAACTATTGCATTTACAGTACAACAGGCAATGTAAATGTTAATATAGGGTTATGCTTTGATGATAGAAGTATCTGGGTGACTTCAGTACAACTGAAAAGTAACCTAAAGGAGAATTGTGCTAAACACAATTAAAAAAAAAAAAAATTACTTCGTCAAAGACCTTAATGAACCCTACACCAGCACGCACACATGCACACACACGAAAATTAAAACGAACATACTGTGGTTGCATTACTTATTTCACAAGTTTGCTATTCTAAAGTCACAAAGCAGGTACTGTACAATATACAATTGGGTAATCGATTTACTTTAACTCATTGATATAACCCAATTTTGAAAATTCTGTATAATCAACAACCTCTACACAATTTATGAGAAAGTGAGAAGAACGACATGAAATGGAATGTTATTTTGAAGGTTATTTTATATACTGTACTACAGTAATATACCAATGTAAAAAGCAAACATACAACTTATCTTTGTAATGTATACCACTCAGCATTAAAGTCAAAATAAGATAAGATCTTTTAATATACAGCTTATAAAATTATCATATATTCACACAAGTTTGTACAGTTTAAAAATTGACACATTTAACCAGAATTTGATTCTTATCTCTATCATGCCAAAGTGATAAAACAGTATCAGATTCATATAACACTCAAAACAATAGTTGTCAAATACTCTTAATTTCAATTTGCACCTAACAGTTTGATTACCCTGAAAAAAAAAAATATTTTGATAAAGTTTTCATTTATGTATGATTTAATGTTATGTACAATCAGACTAATTTTGCATTTAGTATTACATAAAGACTATTTGGTTGGGTAAATGGGTCTGGAAAGGAAAGGCGCGATCTGGCATGGCCCACTACGTCTCTCCTGACGGCCAGTAGAAGAGCCATCTGATGATGGATGAATGCATTGTTGCCACCAGCACGTAGATGTGCAGGCACAACTTCCTCAGATACACTGCACAAGACGGTGTGGATAACCTCGCAATCAATTTGCATCATCGCAATGTGAGCATCAGGAGGGGCCAGAGACTCGTTTATTGGGCGAGGTGTAGGCATGAGCAGGGACATACGAGGCCGAGCAGAATCATTACGTGCAGTGGCAGGAACCAATAGATGATCAGGAGAAAATGACACAACGTAATACGTGTCATCACGACGCTGGATAGCTTCTAGGAATGAGGACAGCCTAGGCACTGTTGTCATTACTGCTGTTTCTTCCTCACTGCTGTTAGAGAAAATGGTAAATTTTCACAAATTAATGCATTTTATATATATTTTTTTTAACATATCGGTTGTTACCACAGAGGCAAGGTGACCCAAAAAAAGAAAGAAAAAAAACTTTCATCATTCAACACTTTCACCATAATTCATACATAATCACTGTCTTTGCAGAGGCAATAAGATAAGACAGTTTAGATATCACTCCAAAGAGCCAATATCCCAAACCCCTCTTTTAAAGAGCAGGCATTGTACTTCCCATCTCCAGGACTCAAGTCCGGCTAAGCGGTTTTCCTGAATCCCTTTACAAAATATTACCCTGCTCACACTCCAACAACTCATCAGGTCCCAAAAACCACTCTTCTCCACTCAATCCTATCTAACACGCTCATGCACACTTGCTGGAAGTCAAGCCCCTTGCACACAAAAACCTCCTTTACCCCCTTCCTCCAACTTTTCCTAGGATGACCCCTACCCCACGTTCCTTCCACTCAGTGGTGGCTCGTAGCTAAAATTAGTGGAGGTGCTGCTTCAGAAATATTTTTAGCCATTGTTTTAATATTGTGTAAAATGAAAGAACTGAAAAAAACTATGATTAAGTAAAATAGCTGAAGGCATGATAATCATCTAATTCTACACTATCACATTCAAGAATATGGTACATGGTTTTTAAGCACAACACATGTCACCGAGTCAAAAAGAAACACTGCCTTACACTTGCACAATGGGGTCGGCACTGCGTCAGCAACAGTAACTCTCTCTACCTAATGTGCAGCGTCTTATCTTGGACATGTGCACAACAGCCAAACACCGAGTTGCTGGAACTGTGAAGTGCACAGTTCCATACAAGGATTTTTGTAATTTTTTTCCATATACTAGGGATGGCTACTGACATTAAGCTTAAGGATTATAAAACGTACAAGTATAAAGAAAGAGTTAAAGAAAAAAAAAAGACTTGTCATATTGAATGTTATCGATAATACCGAACGAAAATAGGGGGTGCTGTAGTTCTGCAGTGCCTATACACGAGCCCCCACTGCTTCCACTACAGATCTATATGCTCTCCAAGTCATTCTTTGTTCCCTCCTCTCTAAATGACCAAACCAACTCAATAACCCGTCTTCAGCCCTCTGAATAATACATTTTAGTAACTGCACATCTCCTAATTTCCACACTATGTATTCTCTGAAATCACATTAATATGTAATATAATCACATTAATCAGTAAAAGACAAGGCTTAAATTTTTATCACATATGCACTAGTACATCAACTTAAAATAAAGTAATATACAATAGATAGTTTTGTTTTTTCTTTTTAGTCACCCTGCCTCAGTGGGAAATGGCTGGTCTGGAGAAAGGAAGGGGGTTGGATCACTAGATATAGCTCAATCACAGAGTAATTAAGAGAAAAAATTCTCAATACATTATCAATAAATTTTGTCTTCAATTTAACCTCACTTCTTCTCTCCCATTACTTTTCCAGTCTTTTAGCATTGGAAGCAATCCTACTTGTGCCATATGTGGAATGGAATTATGCTGGAAATGTACAGGAAGGCCCTGTATATTTGGCACCCTCTTTTCAGTGTTCCACATTTTCAGTGGTTTTCAACTGAGCCATTGTTCATTAAGTTTGTTGCTTTTCATGCTTTTCTGCCATTTTTCTTCAACAGTTACATAAGGGAAGGGCAACCAGCACTATATTTTAAGCTTTGTATGTCCTGTGTATTTATTTTACTTTTGTATCTCTTTTTGTTAATGGATTGAAGAGGGATGGGATAGTTTTAAAAATGCAGTATCAGAATGTGGGGCAGAAGTTTGTGGCTATAGGAGGGTGGGTGCAGGAAGAAAGAGAAGTGATTGGTGGAATGATGAGGTAGAGGGTGCAATAAAAGAGAAAAAAGTAGCTTTTGAGAGGTTTTTACAAAGCAGAAGTGATATAAGAAGGGCAGGGTATATGGAGAGTAAAAGGAAGGTGAAGAGAGTAGTGAGAGTGCAAAAGGAGAGTAAATGATAGAGTGGGAGAGGCACTGTCAAGAAATTTTGCTGAGAATAAGAAAAAATTTAGAGTGAAAAAAAAAGTTAGGAAAGCCTAGGGAACGAATGGATTTGTCAGTTAAAAACAGAGGGGAGTTAGTAGATAGGGAACTGGAGGTATTGGGTAGATAGCGGAATATTTTGAGAAACTTAAATGCCGATGAAGAAAGGCGGGCAGTAATTTCATGCACCGAGCAGGGAGGTATAACATTTTTTAGAAGTGAAGGAGAGCAGGATGTCACTGGGGGGGAGATGTGTGAGGCAGTATGTAGAATGAAAGAGGTAAAGCAGCTGGAACAGATGGGATCATGACAGAAATGTAAAAGCAGAGGAATAGTGTTGGAGTGGTTGGTATTTTTGTTTAATAAATGTATGAAAGAGGGAAAGGTACCTAGGGATTGGCAGAGTGTGTGTATAATTCCTTTATATTAACGAAAAGGGGACAAGAGAGATTGTAAAAATAATTATTCTTTCTTTCAACAAACCAGCCATATCCCACCAAAGCAGGGTGGCCCAAAAAGAAAAAAAATTTCTCTTTTCAACTTTAGTAATGTATACAGGATAAGGGATTATTAGCTCCTTGCTCCTGGCATTTTAGTCGCCTCTTATAACACGTGTGGCTTACAGAGGAAGAATTCTGTTCCACTTCCCCATGAAGATAAGCAGAAATAAACAAGAACAAGAACTAGCAAGAAAATAAAAGAAAACTCAGAGGTGTGTGTGTATATACTATACGCTTGTACATGCACGTGTAGTGTGACTTAAGTGTAAGTAGAAGTAACAAGAAGTACCTGAAATCTTGCATGTTTACGAGACAGAAAAAGACACCAGCAATCCTACCATCATGTAAAGCAATTACAGGCTTTCATTTTACACTCACTTGGCAGGACGATAGTACCTCCCTGGGTAGTTGCTGTCTACCAACCTACAACCTACCTAGTTATGATTTTTGTTGACTAGTACACAGGAATTGGCCGAAAATAGGGCTCAAAGTGGGCAAAATCGCTGATGCGTAAACATCGTTGAGACCGCTAACTTCGCGAGAGCATAAATTCCAAAAATTTTCCATCAAATTTCATACTTTTGGTGTCATTATGATCGGGAAAAGATTCTCTATCTTTTCATAAGAAAAAAAATTTTTTTTTTTTTTTTGAAATTTGGCCGACCCTGAGAACAATTCTCGGAGAGGGCCTGTTGACCCTCAAAGGTCGAATCCGTTCCTGGAAGTGCGACGATTATCGAAATAGACGATTTTCGAATCAATTTTTTCCCATAAGAAATAATGCAAATACAATTAATCCGTTCCTGACACCCAGAAGTATTAAAACAATTTTTTTACATGAATATAGATGTAGTACATAAATACAATGGGACATGATGAATGAAACATTAACAGCATAACACTTACCTTATTGGTGATTCTTCTTAGTTGTATGGAAGACTGGAGGAGGAGAGAGATTGGATTAGTTACTGTTTGGAAGGGGAATCCCCTTCCATCAACACCTCAGGCATTACCAGTCCTTTTCTGGGTTACTTCTCTTCTCTTTCTTAATGCCACTAGACCAGCTTGAGAGTCACTGGAGTCCTGTCTCGCAAAAAAACTGTCCTGAGAGCTCTGTTTTTTGGCGTCCTTTTAAAGCTTCCCTAAAATGGGGCCAAGACTGTCACTGTACAAGTTGCTGATATGGCTTGCAACATCCTTCTCAGGGTGATGTTTCTCCATAAATCTTTCCATCCTACCCCACATTTCAAAATTCTCCTTAATTTCTGAAGAAGGCACCTTCTTCCATCTCTCTTCCTCCTCCTCTGCAGCAAGATTCTGAGCTGCGATCTGTTGCTATTCCAACTCAAGCTCTTGCAGCTCCTCAGTGGTTAGCTCTTCCTTGTGGTCCTCCACCAACTTTTCCACATCCTCCAAACTCACATCCAACCCCATGGAACTCCCTAATGCCACAATAGAGTTCACAACTGACACAGGCTCATCAGGGTAGCCACAAATCCTTCAAAATCCCTCTTGTAGACACAATCTGGCCACAATTTTCTCCAAGCAGAGTTCAAAGTCCTGGTAGTCACTCCCTCCCAAGCCTTACCTATAAGGCTTATGCAATGGAGGATACTGAAGTGTTCTTTCCAAAAATCTCTTAGGATCAAGTAAGTGTTTGAGGTCACATACTAATAACACAGAAACATGGATGAATAAATGAATGAATAATAGAATGAATAAGTCATTATGTATGTCACGAGGTGTGTTGTGGTGTTGTTGGGTATACAAGGGCCACAGAGTAAGCCGTCCAAAATGGTGGTGAAGCAGCAGCTGAGGTGGCAGTGTTTTTTGTAGCCCTATATAACTCCAACAACATTGGAGGAGTTAGTAGAATTGCTGAATCACTGAAGAAGGCACCCTCTACCACCATCACTACCACCTTCTACCACTATTACAACTGCTACCACCATCACTACCACCTTCTACCATATTAACAACTGCTACCACCTTCTACCACTATTACAACTGCTACCACCTTCTACCACTATTACAACTGCTACCACCATCACTACCACCTTCTACCACTATTACAAACTGCTACCACCATCAATACCACCTTCTACCACCATCACTACCACCCTATACCACCATCAACCACTATCACAACTGCTTCCACTCTACCACCCACCACCTTCGTATTTTTCTACAAACTTTTTCTTAAATTATATGCGTTTCTCACATTCTTTACCAAAGGGCTGGCACTAGAAGGTGTCTTTGGAGCCATGGTGACTTATTTAACAGTTGCAAGCATAAAACGAATGGAATATTATGAAATGTATCGTACGAACTCGTGGGATCATCCTCACTCACTGATAAACAATGGCCACACTGGCTGGAATGGAGTGAGAGGCAGCTCGGGGCTGTGTGTACACATCCCAGACGAACGATGATTAGAGAGTCAACGGACCATTTGCGAGCCAATTTTGGAAGAAATAATGCGACGATTTCCGAAAGGACGACTATCGAGCTGGACTATTATTGAGGGACCACTGTAATAAGGACTGCACCAAAACAAAGGCGAAGAGGAAGAATAATGCTCTAGACACAGAGTGGACATTTTATGGTACAGTGATGCTGTTGAGAAATCAGGGACAGTGCAAGATTTCCTGGTCTTTCCAAATTTAGTGTTACCAATGTTATAATTTCAGACGGCTGACAAAGGGCTGTTAAAGTGGTTTGGCATTTAGAAGATGGAAGGGATAGAATGATGGTATATAAATCTAAGGTGGAAGGTGGGAATGAAAGGATAAAGGTAGATGGCCAAGGGCTTTAAGATTCAGCAGGCTCGTGAATGTTCAATTGGACTGAGTGGAGACAAGTGAAATTTGATGGTCAATTTGCTGTTGAGTTTGAGGGTCATTTGAATGCCATGTCAGTACACTACTGGTAAGACAGCAACTTAATGAATGATAGTAAATGCATTTTTTTGTTTTTAGGTCATCTTACCTAGTGGAAGCTGGTCAATAAGCATTTAGCATGTTCAATAATCAGAAGTTTTTAAGAATTCCCTTTCATCTTAAATGTTTGTGAGAAAGAAAAAAGACTAAATCTTGCCTGAGTAAAACAATTAAGGCATAAGATACTCATGATTGCTTTAAATACTGTACTTTTTTTTTTTAAGAGAAAAAACAAGAACAAGGCCTTTTATAATCCTATCCACCATCTCTCGTGCAGATTTACATCTTTGATGTCAGCATTACTCACATAGATCTACATTTTGAGCTCAACTCCTCAGATAAACTGTGAAAGGTAAATTATGTCCTAGACACAAGAAAATGGGTTTGTGCATCAATGTACACAATATTAAAAAAATCTTGCCCTATGCAGTGCATGAAGGGAAAAGCAAACTGCTGATCTTGTATGGTTTTTGAACGATGACTTTTGAGGTGTTTTTAGAATTGGCTATTTCTTGGTTTCAAATGTTAGAATGGAAGACATTAGTGAAGTAGATGATTTTGGTCAGTTTCAGGACTGGAAGTAGCTTGAAATAGGGCTTAAATATTAAATTTTTGGCAATTTTCCTGAAGACTGGTAGGGCCCCTCCTCAGTCTGTTTTATGAGTTTTTACTAGGTCTGCTTCAATTATTGGGATCTAAACCACAACCAAGCATTCTTTATTATATTTATTGAGAAATAGGGTAAAGCTTCAATTTTATTTTGAAATGGATTCAAAATGGAGGGCAAGTTTTACATAGAAGAGGCTTGGGGCTGTGATTAACAAACACAGTAGATAGTTTTAGTATCCAGAATGCCTAACACTGCTTATTCTGGACTAATTTCAAATTGTAATTGAAATAGTATTTAATAAAAATTTTCTTCAAGAGCCATAAATAACTAGCTACCTGGTAGAGGGATCCACCTGCAACACATCAGGGTGAATGTAACGGTAGAGACGGGTAGGTGGCTGGGAAGGCGGAACTAAGGCATTCCATACTTCATTGACAACACGCTCTTGAGTTTCTGGAATGACATGTGTATGACTGGTAAGTCTGTTTCTGCCCTCTTTGGTTTTGGGATGAGATGTTCGGCGTTTTTCTTCCTTCTTTTTATCAGTCTTTGATGGTCTGAATTTGTTTTCAAACCATCCACGAAGCTCAGTTTCTAACCTGAAAATATGTAGTGGATTTGTTAAATATTTATATATATATATATATATTGGCAGTTTGGAGGGATATGTTGTGTATCTTTATACGTATATGCTTCTAAACTGTTGTATTCTGAGCACCTCTGCAAAAACAGTGATAATGTGTGAGTGTGGTGAAAGTGTTGAATGATGATGAAAGTATTTTCTTTTTGGGGATTTTCTTTCTTTTTTGGGCCACCCTGCCTCGTGGGAGACGGCCGACTTGTTGGGGGGGGGGAGAGTTGAGAAAAATTTTTTATATATATATATATTTTTTTTTTTTTTTTTTTTTCAACAAGTCGGCCGTCTCCCACCGAGGCAGGGTGACCCAAAAAAGAAAGAAAATCCCCAAAAAGAAAATACTTTCATCATCATTCAACACTTTCACCACACTCGCACATTATCACTGTTTTTGCAGAGGTGCTCAGAATACAACAGTCTAGAAGCATAAACATATAAAGATACACAACATATCCCTCCAAACTGCCAATATCCCAAACCCTCCTTTAAAGTGCAGGCATTGTACTTCCCATTTCCAGGACTCAAGTCCGACTATATGAAAATAACCGGTTTCCCTGAATCCCTTCACTAAATATTACCCTGCTCACACTCCAACAGATCGTCAGGTCCCAAGTACCATTCGTCTCCATTCACTCCTATCTAAACACGCTCACGCACGCTTGCTGAAGTCCAAGCCCCTTACCCACAAAACCTCCTTTACCCCCTCTCTCCAACCCTTTCGAGGACGACCCCTACCCCGCCTTCCTTCCCCTATAGATTTATATGCTTTCCATGTCATTCTACTGTGATCCATTCTCTCTAAATGACCAAACCACCTCAACAACCCCTCTTCTGCCCTCTGACTAATACTTTTATTAACTCCACACCTTCTCCTAATTTCCACACTCCGAATTTTCTGCATAATATTTACACCACACATTGCCCTTAAACAGGACATCTCCGCTGCCTCCAACCGTCTCCCCGCTGCTGCATTTACCACCCAAGCTTCACACCCATATAAGAGTGTTGGTACTACTATACTTTCATACATTCCCTTCTTTGCCTCCATAGATAACGTTTTTTGACTCCACATATACCTCAACGCACCACTCACCTTTTTTCCCTCATCAATTCTATGATTAACCTCATCCTTCATAAATCCATCCGCCGACACGTCAACTCCCAAGTATCTGAAAACATTCACTTCTTCCATACTCCTCCTCCCCAATTTGATATCCAATTTTTCTTTATCTAAATCATTTGACACCCTCATCACCTTACTTTTCTATGTTCACTTTCAACTTTCTCCTTTACACACATTCCCAAACTCATCCACTAACCTTTGCAATTTTTCTTTAGAATCTCCCATAAGCACAGTATCATCAGCAAAAAGTAACTGTGTCAATTCCCATTTTGAATTTGATTCCCCATAATTTAATCCCACCCCTCTCCCAAACACCCTAGCATTTACTTCCTTTACAACCCCATCTATAAATATATTAAACAACCATGGTGACATTACACATCCCTGTCTAAGACCTATTTTTACCGGGAAGTAGTCTCCCTCTCTTCTACACACCCTAACGTGAGCCTCACTATCCTCATAAAAACTCTTTACGCATTTAATAACTTACCACCTATTCCATATACTTGCAACATCTGCCACATTGCTCCTCTATCCCACTCTATCATATGCCTTTTCTAAATCCAAAAATGCAATAAAAACTTCCCTATCTTTATCTAAATACTGTTCACATATATGCTTCAATGTAAACACCTGATCTACACATCCCCTACCCACTCTAAAACCTCCTTGCTCATCCGCAATCCTACATTCTGTCTTACCTCAAATTTCCCTTTCAATTAAACCCTACCGTACACTTTTCCTGGTATACTCAGTAAGCTTATTCCTCTATAATTTTTACAGTCTCTTTTGTCCCCTTTCCCTTTATATAAAGGGACTATACATGCTCTCTGCCAATCCCTAGGTACCTTCCCCTCTTTCATACATTTTTTAAAACAAAAGTACCAACCACTCCAACACTATATCCCCCCCTGCTTTTAACATTTCTGTCATGATCCCATCAGTTCCAGCTGCTTTACCCCCTTTCATTTTACGTAATGCCTCACGTACCTCCCCACACTTACATTCTGCTCTTCTTCACTCCTAAAAGATGGTATACCTCCCTGACCAGTGCATGAAATTACTGCCTCCCTTTCTTCCTTAACATTTAAAAGTTCCTCAAAATATTCTCGCCATCTACCCAATACCTCCATCTCCCCATCTACTAACTCCCCTACTCTGTTTTTAACTGACAAATCCATATTTTTCCCTAGGCTTTCTTAACTTGTTTAACTCACTCCAAAATTTTTTCTTATTTTCATTAAAATTTCTTGACAGTGCCTCTCCCACTCTATCATCTGCTCTCCTTTTGCACTCTCTCACCACTCTCTTTACCTTTCTTTTACTCTCCATATACTCTGCTCTTTTTATAACACTTCTGCTTTGTAAAAACCTCTCATAAGCTACCTTTTTCTCTTTTATCACACCCTTTACTTCATCATTCCACCAATCACTCCTCTTTCCTCTCTGCCCCCACCCTCCTATAACCACAAACTTCTGCCCCACATTCTAATACTGCATTTTTAAAACTATTTCCAACCCTCTTCAACCCCCCCACTACTCATCTTTGCACTAGCCCACCTTTCTGCCAAAAGTCGCTTATATCTCACCCGAACTTCCTCCTCCCTTAGTTTATACACTTTCACTTCCCTCTTACTTGTTGTTGCCACCTTCCTCTTTTCCATCTACCTCTTACTCTAACTGTAGCTACAACTAAATAATGATCCGATATATCAGTTGCCCCTCTATAAACATGTACATCCTGGAGCCTACCCCTCAACCTTTTATCCACCAATACATAATCTAATAAACTACTTTCATTACGTGCTACATCATACCTTGTATATTTAATTTTTCCTCTTTTTCATAAAATATGTATTACTTATTACCAAATTTCTTTCTACACATAGCTCAATTAAAGGCTTCCCCATTTACATTTACCCCTGGCACCCGCAAATTTACCTACTACTCCCTCCATAACATTTTTACCCACTTTAGCATTAAAATCCCCAACCACCATTACTCTCACACTTGATTCAAAACTCCCCACGCATTCACTCAACATTTCCCAAAATCTCTCTCTCTCCTCTACACTTCTCTCTTCTCCAGGTGCATACACGCTTATTATAACCCACTTTTCACATCCAATCTTTATTTACTCCACATAATCCTTGAATTAATACATTTTTAGTCCCTCTTTTCCTGCCATAGCTTATCCTTCAACATTATTGCTACTCCTTCTTTTAGCTCTAACTCTATTTGAAACCCCTGACCTAATCCCATTTATTCCTCTCCACTGAAAAACTCTCCCACCCCTTCAGCTTTGTTTCACTTAAAGCCAGGACATCCAGCTTCTTCTCATTCATAACATCCACAATCATCTCTTTCTTATCATCTGCACAACATCCACGCACATTCAGACTTCCCACTTTGACAATTTTCTTCTTCTTATTCTTTTAGTAATCTTTACAGGAAAAGGGGTTACTAGCCCATTGTTCCCGGCATTTTAGTTGACTTTTACAACACGCATGGCTTACGGAGGAAAGATTCTTATTCCACTTCCCCATGGATATAAAAGGAAAATTAATAAGACCAAGAACTATTAAGATAAAATCAAAGAAAACTCAGATGAGTGTGTATAAATAAATGTGTACATGTATGTGTAGTGTGACCTAAGTGTAAGTAGAAGTAGCAAGACATGCCTGTAATCTTGCATATTTATGAGACAGACAAAAGACATCAGCAATCCTACCATCATGTAAAACAATCACAGGCTTCGTTTTACACTCACTTGGCAGGACGGTAGTACCTCCCTGGGTGGTTGCTGTCTACCAACCTACTACTTTTGTTTAATAAATGTATGAAAGAGGGGAAGGTACCTAGGGATTGGCGGAGAGCATGTATAGTCCCTTTATATAAAGGGAAAGGGGACAAAAGAGATTGTAAAAATTATAGAGGAATAAGTTTATTGAGTATACCAGGGAAAGTGTACGGTAGGGTTATAATTGAAAGAATTAGAGGTAAGACAGAATGTAGGATTGCGGATGAGCAAGGAGGTTTCAGAGTGGGTAGGGGATGTGTAGATCAAGTGTTTACATTGAAGCATATATGTGAACAGTATTTAGATAAAGGTAGGGAAGTTTTTATTGCATTTATGGATTTAGAAAAGGCATATGATAGAGTGGATAGAGGAGCAATGTGGCAGATGTTGCAAGTACAGGAAGGCCCCACTTATACGGCGGGTTAGGTTCCAGGCTAGCGCCGTAAAGCGGAAATCGCCGTAAAGTGGAACACCCTTTTTTTCCACTTATAAATGCATACAAACACTAGATAACAAGTTTACACTAACATATATTAAGTTAGCAATAGAACCAGCATCAAAAACAATAAAAAGGTACAATACACACATAGTGCACTCATTACTTACCTTAAAATATTTATAGTCTTAATCTAGGGTGAGACAAGTAGTATTTATTGTAAGAAATCAAGTGTGGTATGTATTGTAATAGGCAGGCTATTTCACCAGGCCACCCCACCCACACATACTATTCTATGATATTTAAGCATCCCAGAGCGATAAAATGTATATACAGTTCACTCATTACTTACCTTAAAATATTTGTAGTCTTAATGTAGGGTCAGGAGTAAGTAAATGAGATAAAACGAATAAATGAGAGAGAGAAAGAATGAATACATGAGAGGTGACAGGCGCAGAGTTATGTAAACAAACCAGGCTCCCACATCTTATATTTATGTTTATTTATTCTATTGTGGGGTGTATTTATCATCTTTTTATGTTATGTATCGTGTTTATTATATAATTTTGAAAAAAATATCATGGCTGGATTAATGAAAATGTG